ACCTCAGTATCTGCTTGGTTATTGCTACAGTTTTGATGCAGGTGAGTCACCGGTTCCCGTGCCTTCTACAAACCGTTTCCTAACACATCTCGCCAAAAGTTGGGATTCATTATACCATTAAGCGCAAACCCCGATCAATGCTATAACGCGATCACTCCGAACGATATGAGCACTAACTTTACCTGTGCAATCTCCGGCGCATTCATAATGGCTGGAGGCTGGTGTGGTGTGATGTGGGTCTTCTTAAGATCCCTCGCCTTACATCTACAGATCTGTTGGCAGGTGATTATTGGGAAGTCATTCATGTGGGGGGCTCTTGCTACTGGATGGGGAATACCGGCCATTGCATTGTGTTTTGGAATGATTTTTAGTGGTGTTTCCTTCCGATTTGGAGATACTTGCCATATCAATCACGAGAATAGTTTAGCGGACTTCTGGATTCCTCTTCTAATTTTCTCTGGCGCCACCGTTATCATCCAGTTCGTTACTTTCGGTTACTGCATCAAAGTATATCTTTCATCCCTCGCAGACAATTCCAACACCACGGAAACTTCAGGAGTTTTGCCTTCGTATACTAACAGTGTACGCACTGTCTCACCACGACAAGCATATCGTCGTGTTCGCCGAGTGATTGAGTTACAATGGAGAGGTATCGCTATTGTACTAGTGATTATCGCTGATGTCGCATTCTTTGCGATTGTGTTTGTCTTCATGGATGATTTGGAAACAAATATCCTCAAGGATCCCACCAAAGCCGAGCAATGGTTAACATGTTTGATACGAACTGCTGGAGGTAAAGAAGAGTGTTTGCCTTTAGCGAAATCTCTAGTTGTGAACGAGGCTACCGTTGGTGCGGTCCTTGTCATGCTATCCGTAAGTTCTGACCATTACCGTCGTTATTTCACTCAAGTGCTAATGTAATCTAGTTCAATGGCTTCTGGGCAGCAATATTCTTGGGAAGAAAGGCAATGATTACAGGCTGGTATGAGATGTACCGTGGAAAAATAAAGCCCAACAATGAATTCGTCAGCGCCGATGTTCACGCCTTCAAGGATCCCAGGTCATACGAAATGCTTAGCAAGGATCGAGATCAACGTGACAGCAAGAACATGGAGACATACGAAACCCCAGACGCCGTCACTCCAATTTCACCCGTTCGAAAAAGTGGTCGAGAAACACCAGACTACTTTGGCAGGGAAGCAAGATATAAATCACCGTCACGTTCATTTTCCAAACCCCATCCACCACAATCATGGGATTCAACCACAACATATGCTCCACCCATGAATTCAAACGCGAACAAATTCTGATATGGGTTCGACATGTATATTTTATTTATTTTCAAGCATTTTTAGCGATGTTTCATACTGTTCCTCACGAAGGGTCAAACAGGAGTTTGGTGCCTTGGCGACTCGGCGGCTTGGCTAGGCGATGGAGCTAGAAGAAATAGAGAGCCCGGCTCATCACCCCACGCGGGATGAAAAGACTTTGTATAGTCACCTACATGGATCAAGTCAGGATACAAAAAGGACGAAACCTGGAACAAACCCTTTTTCCTTTGTCCGAGAAAATGCCGGTCGGGAACGAAAGGGCTCCGACCGGGTGGATAGAATTATGGAGGGGGATGGGGTATAATGTGTTTACAATACCCAGATACCCATTCATAGGCCGAAATGGTCATCGAACTTACTGGTTCGAGGGTACTAATACTGCTACAGTTGTAGTAGGTATACATAGAGATCTCGAGTCCCGAGATTTCGGATTAGGTATGGGATATACCCCGCCTATGTAATGACGATCTGTACTTTATTAGTAGTGTTTGTATGTATTATGATAACATCAAATAGAAAAATATCTAAACCAATTATCTGATGATTTCACTCCTGTTTGCACTGTGATAGATTATGATGTATATGTGTTCTTCTGACGGCGTTGGGTATAAGTCAAGTCCACAACATCCAATAGAAGCCAAATATCTTTAAACTCGTACTTTGCTGAAGTTGCTAGATACTGTTGAACTACAGTATCATCAGTGTTCGCATGATTTCCCTAATTCTTAAATCCAAGAAGACTCTGGATCTTCACACATGTGAGCATCCATTCTCTTTAGCATGACACTGCCGTACTAGAGGTGAGCTAGTCCAAGCCCGATATTACCAGAAATCCGACGATGGATATTGTTTGCATATCATAACGAGAGTTCAGTACTGGCTAATCACGAGAGACAGCGAGTGATGCAGATGAAAAGAAATTCTTGATCATATGCTCGAGTATAACCCATGGAGACCCGTCTCTTCGTGGCTTTCTGGCGAAAACCACGCTTAAGCATCACGATTCGTAGCATCACATCTACGATTCCTTTGAATGTCATAGAGTGGGGTTTTGACTTTTTAGAATTGTACTTTAGCAAGGATTCCTTCTCAAGACTCGGAAGTTGAAGTTTGATTCCTCATATTTCATAGACTTTGCTATACACACGTGTCAGATCAGGAGAGTCTGAGAACCTTGAATCGAGCTTAAGATCGTAATCACCAATGCCTCGGAATGGATAATATATCTATCTACTTAGGATCTTCCCCCCCGTTTCCGCTTTAGACTCAATAGACAATGATGTCAATTTTTTGATTGGTCGCTTAACTAACGTCCTAACCCAACCAGAGAATCTACGATCACGAGATCCTCATTCTCACTCGTCAGACATATTTGTGCCTCTCTCCTCCTTCCCATTTCTTCCCTTCTTTAAATCATTCATCTTAACTCTCCTCCCAAAACCCAATCTTTTATGCAAAATGCGGATCACACCGCATCCGAACTTATACTATTCATAGCCGTTATCCATACACTCTCTTTCTTTATCGATACAGGTAGTTAGAAAGAGAGTGGTATTAATGGAAGCTTATGCAATGCTGCTGCGGAGGCCGAAATGGAGAAATTTACGCCAAATAGGTGGTTGGCTTCTTATTTTGCTGAAGGGGTATGAGGAATCTTGAGGTGAAGAATGGCGTAACGATTTTGCGATGGTGTGGTAGAGATGGAAATGTGCTGAAATATCATCATTTGTCGAAAAATTACTGTGTGAGAATGTCTTAAGGAGTCCAATCGAGATGAAAAGGTATGTATTACCCTCTCCTTCTACACATCCATTCTCACACCCCCTAGATCCTCAAATTCACCTTCTTGAAATCCGGCCTTATGCTGGATTATTTCTCACCCGTATCCAATACTTCACACTTCCAGCTCGAGCTACCCTTTGATTTTCTCAATCGAGGAGCTGTTCTAGAGGACTATGATGGTTTCTATACCCTAACTTACTTCTATCGACCTGGTAAATATTGTTGCCAAGGCAATGGAATATGGAGCGTCATGATCTATAAGCAGTGGCATTTGTGGTGGTCTATTCTCAGCAAAAATCGAATGTAGAGATGCGCGAGAGGGCTAGGAGTATATGTGCTCTTTTTACCTCTTGAAATGTTTATGAATAGGAGAATATAAGGACCCAACTAATTCACCAAAAGAGACAGCAACTTCCAATGAACACCCATAGAAGAAACGGATCTCAGTGCAGAGGATGGCGAATCATCGTGAATACCAATGATATAAATTCCTAATACTCCATTAGACTAAAGCAAAAATGTTTCAAAACTGCTTGTGACGGAAATGCTTCTTGCAGGCCTTCATAATTCATGAGAGGTGGCTGATGAATTGGATTTGTTGGTCAAGGATTAAGAATATAGATCTCGAGAAGTGGCACAAGGAGAGCTGGAAGGAAATTATGTGAGAGGTATAATTTGATTAATGTGGAGGAAGGAAGGTCGCCGCTTAGCTACGAAGTGTGTCTGTCAGATTGGGAAGGTAAATTGAGAAGAGAATCTTGCCAGGACGAACACTCGACAAATTAGGGAGTAAGTTTACTGGCTGAATGTGATGACTTTAAAGTGATCACTCGTGAATATGATTTGATTTGATGAACAGGTCAAACAAGCTTATAGAAATGCTCACGTAGGTACCTATTAAAACCCTTGATGGGACTTTATGACGTTTGAGCGCAAATTGATACCGTAAACTCCAGTTGAGCCATGCGGGACGAAGTGAAGCAAATCACTGAATCGAGAACGATCACATATGACGATCAGATAGACAGACAGCATTACAAGTCATTAAAAAGCATTATTGTAGTCTATATAAAACAGCGTGCAAGTTTCCCTCCTGCCACTTAAGCACCACATCACTTGAAGAAGTACACGATTCTCAAGATACAATTCCACTTCGTAAACCTACCTGTACCCTGAGTAGAGAGCATGACTGGTAATATCATTTGCAAAATGCCGTCAATCCAGGCTGCCCGTGGTCGCGAAATATAAATCGACACATTGATATTGGACAAAAATAAAATCCTTCAAAGACATCTCTGATATCCACCAGACCTTACATGCTTTCCAAGATTGTTGACCTTTGCGACGCGAGAAATTGGTTGATGGAAAAGTGTTCTATTTCAAGGTTAGTTACGGATCATGTATAGATATACAATATCATAAAAGAATAACAACCGAGAAGATTAATCAGATGTTCAGTTAGTTCATTGTTCCCTCCGCAGAGAGTCCTAAAACAAGAGGTACCAGAAAAATAGTAAAAAGAAATATCATCATTGTGTCTTCTCGGCCGATTGTGAATGGAAAGGGAATCTCTTACATTTAAATGATAGCGCACCGCAATCGAGTGTTCCGAATAGTCAGTACAAAAGATGAGGCTGATCTTCAATCAATTATGATAATTGATCATTGCTTCTGTTGGTGAATCAAAGTTGTTGTCGGGAAAATAAAAAGCTCTGGACCTGAGAAATTTCTTATGATGTTCATATTGCGCTAGTCGACTTTAGATCTAGCGCAGAAAATACCAGCTCTTAGCGTAGGCTAAGCGATGAACAATCCACACACATAATATTGCGACGACGAACATTTTCAAAACTTTAACACCTCTCGACAATCTCAATCTAACGACCAGTTTAATCACCGTCGACAAATACCGCAAAAATGGGTCGTCTTCACTCCAACGGAAAGGGAATATCTTCCTCTGCTCTCCCATACTCCCGCGCTCCTCCTTCGTGGCTCAAGACCACCCCAGAGCAAGTCGTTGACCAAATCTGCAAGCTTGCCAAGAAGGGTGCTGCTCCTTCCCAAATCGGTGTTGTCTTGAGAGATTCTCACGGTATTGCTCAAGTCAAGGTTGTTACTGGTATGTTGATTTCCCCATTCTGCAATTGATGCGGGTTGGATTTCAGTTGGAAAGAAATACGAATGCTAACATTTTTACTTCTGCAGGTAACAAGATTCTTAGAATCCTCAAGTCCAACGGTACGATATCCAATAATACATGAATAGTTCCATATATGCCATCATTGGATCATAGTACATCCTTGATGTGTCAATTTGTATCTTTACAAACGCCTCTGCTTGGTCACAGACTGACAGAGTGACAAAATAGGCCTTGCCCCAGAGATCCCAGAGGACCTTTACATGTTGATCAAGAAGGTACGTTCAATACTATCCTCACAGCTAACGTTGAATTATACTGATCCATTAAATCTAGGCCGTCGCTGTCCGCAAGCATCTCGAGCGTAACCGCAAGGACAAGGACTCCAAGTTCCGTTTGATTCTCATTGAATCCCGTATCCACCGTCTCTCCCGTTACTACAAGACCGTCGGTGTTCTCCCACCAACCTGGAGATACGAGAGTGCCACTGCCAGCACCATGGTCGCATAAAAAGTTTCACCATGACAAAATGGATATGGAGTTGGGGTGTGGACTTGATTGCATCACGAACTATACTACTTTCTTGAGAAGGAGTACTGCTATATTGGCATAAAAACTAAATAGCAAATTAAATATTAAGAAATACCTCCAGCGCCAGCCTTGTTCTCAATTATTTTCCAATTATTTTAATGTGATATTTCACTCCTTGAACGCCCATCTTGAAACGATTTTGATGTGCCTAGGGGTATTATATCTAAACTCCATCTATTTTTAATTCCCTCCTTCTAATTCCTTAGATTTTGATAATAAAAATTCTCCCAATACCCGTAAAGGATCTTTTGGTCTGTTAAGAAATGATTGTTAGTTTATACGCACCGTGAGAGGCTCCTATCGAGCAGCAGATCCAAGGTACATACTGGTCCTTGGCTAATAGTTTCATGCCCTCTAATAAACTTCCCGTGACAGTCTGATTCAAATAAACCCTTGCCGGCGCTCCATGCACACTTGCTTCGGTTGGCAACGACGGCCCCGTATCAGGATGTTGGCTAGTAGCTCTCGACGAATTTTCCTTCTCTGCATTCCCGTTTACCTTTGGTACTGGCGTACTGGTGCGCGCAGGAACGGGCGCTGGAGAAGCTGTTTCGCGATTTATGTTCGCAGACGAAGTGGAAACTTGATGCGAGGGGGGTAGAATGGGTGAATGAGAATGTGTTTGTGATTGAGTTTGAGCAGTGGGTGGAAGAATTGCAGCGGCTGGAGACTGTAAGAGAGTTGTATGAGTAAGTATTGAAAATTCTAGTGCAGAAGACAGGCGCGAGAGGAAAAATCCAATTGAATTTGAAGGATGGGAGGGTGAGGGGTGGGAGGAGGAGGGAGAAGGTGGAGGAATGGGTGGAGGATCAGGGTCTGGGGGAGTATAAGGCATACTGCAGGTCTATGAAGAGGCGCATCTTCCATAACCACATCGCGTGTTGCGCCCGGCATTTGGAGGACGCCGGAGGGTGTGGATGAGGGGGGTGTGGAGGACGATTGTGTTTGCATCGCGAGTTGATAGGTATGCGCGGCTGAACTGATGCTGGGTGTGCTATTAGGGTTGATTTCGGGTGATGGCGTTTCGGGTTGCGACATGCTGGATGTGGAGTTAGGTGTGGATTTATGAAGGTTTGGGTATAGGTTTATGTCGCTACGATTGGATTGTGTAATTGGGCGGAGGAGAATTGCTTTCTGCCAAAGCGGTGAATGACGTACGGTAGCTGGTAACGTGCTCAGGCGTATATTGGAATGGTTGACGCGCTTGAAGACGCGGATGTAAGATACGTTCTTGCCATAAAATTGTATGCGATGGATGAAGTACTTCTGTATACATAGCATTCGGTATAATGGTACTCGAAGAAATTAAGAACGCTAATCACAACGTTATGCTACATCGAAGAACTCAACGTAAGATACCGCAAGACTTTAAAGATAAATTATTGCCACCTTCGAAGCGTTTGAAAACTGCAGAGAGTATAGATGGTGATGATCTTAGTTCTCGGTGTCCTTCCGATGAAGATGAATCATTACCTTTATCCCCACGAAGCCGAAGTCCCATTCAATTCAGAAGTACGGAAATTCCCGATTCGGAAGATGAAGGGGAAGATGAAGCGGATCAGATTGTGGCTCCCAGAGTGACGGAATTGGAGAGTGCATTGCCACCAGTTGTTATTAATAAGACTGCGATTGCTGAATATGAAGCAATGCGTGCCGAGAACGAAAATCTTCCAGATGATCTCAAAGCGAGGTTAACTGGTAGGACTTGGGAGAGGGGTAAAAGTAGTATTTATAGTGATGCTTTCAATCTTGCATTGGAAACTGTGTTGGAGGATGAAGGTCATCTGTTCGATGAGAAGGAAATGGAAGTTTTCAAGCAATGGAGAGAATTGGATTATGAAGCTCAATATTTGTAAGGCCTAGTTATTATGTCTGAATTATGACTTTTGAGAGCTGACGAACATAGGTATGTGCGTCTTTTCTTACGAAAAACTTCGGCATGGCATCGCATAACCCGCTTGGGTTATCATGGAGATTTGACGGATGTTTCTGCAGCTTCGAAAGTTCTGCAATCTACCCGAGTATTACCGGAATCAACCGCAACAATTCAAGCCAATCCAGCAGAGTTGGGACCTCCCGAAGGAACAGTCCTTGAAGACTTGTTGACTTTTGCTGATTCGTCAGAAGATCAGATCAAAACCTTAGATGAGGCATTATCCCTATTGAACCTGGATGAACTGAAGGGCTTAGCGAAAGAACTCAAGGTTCAAGGAAAAAATAAAGCTGATATACTAAAAGCACTTCGTGAAACAAGTCAAAGACAGGCTGGACTCGGTTATGTTGGGCTGAAAAGAGCTGATAGTGCTTTGAAATCAAATCCTACAACTCCAGATGGATCGATTCTCGAAGAAAAAGAAGAAGACGACAGTCTCGATCATATGAACAGAGATGCTCATTTCCTCAGAAAGATCATGGCTATCACAGGACCGTGTATACGACTTTCACTACCAGCTTTAAACTTATTCGAACGAGTCCATCTCGTCTTTTACAGATCAACTGAATGGACCGATAAGTCTCTAACCACAATCATTCTTGCCAGAATCTCCCGCCGTAACTTCCCCTCCTATATCGTCTCACGATCAACCAATATCTTCCCCACCCGTTCCACCCTCCTCGAATTTGAAGCCTCAATTCGAACGCAATACCGCGTCGACAACATCCTCGATGGCCATCCAGGTAAATCCGACCTAGACCAAGTTCTTGAAACTTTCGAAGCCATATATCCCCGTTGGAAGATTCTCCTGGCAGAAGAACAACGCAAAGAAGACTCCATATATGAAAGTGGAGAGGGTGGCTACCTTCGCCGATTTTCTCCAGCATGGGTCTACACACGCATCGTGCATAAAGCTCTCTACGTAATCGGACGATTTAAGTCCTACGAAAAAGAATACTCTTTACTCACTGAACTCCTTTCTCAGAAGCTTTTTCATTCAGCCCGAAGGGGTGCATGGTATCAACGTAAAGCTCTTCTAGAAGAACACTATATGTATACTCTCCTCCCAACCCCAGGAATCAAAGATCCAGAACAACAAAAACGTCAATGGAAACGCATTTCGCTCAAAACATGTGAGCAAGGTCTTCAAGATCGATATTGTCATACAATTTATCACTACGACTTACAGAAACGAATCCGTAAACTCGAGAAGACACTCAAGATTCCTAAGAGAGAAAAACACGATTTTGAGCATGTCCTTCTCTCTAAACCTATCGAAACAATTATTCAAGGAATTCAAATCAAAAAGTCGTATCTCACACCAACAACTCTCCGACGTAAATCCAGCGCACCCAATGGGTTTGAAGAGAGACAACGCAGTACCAAAACCATTTGGTTAGATGAATATGAATCTCCATCAAACCCATCTGAATGTTCCGTTGAACAGTTATCTCTAAGTTACTATCGCAGCCTCGGGTTCCGCGGCTACCACTCCGAAGGTGGCATTCTACGCACTCTATTCGCATACCTCTTTTTCGACATCCTATTTCTTTACATCCCCAATGTATTTCAGACAGAATACCAAACTTGCCCTCTAGACTTACACACCGAGTCATTCTATGAAGCTCGAGCGTCGGAAATCAATCATCGCATTGTGGAGATTGAGAATGGAATGGCACCGGGGATTATAAGGGAGGTTTGGGAGAGAGAAGGGGAGAGAAAGACGTGTGTAGTAGGTTTGAGGTGGGACTTTGAAAGGCAGGACTTGGAGGGGATTGTGGAGGCTTTTGGTAGTGCGTTGGGGAAGGTGATGAGGGTTATGGCGGAGGAGTATAGGGTGAGAGGGGGTGGAGTGCCGGATTTGTTTTTATGGGATGATGGAGTGGAGCATGAAGTGGAGGATGAGCCAATGAAACAAGATCCGGTAAAAAGGGAATTGAAGGAAGAGAAAGATATCAAGACCGCAATTCTCGAAGATGTCGAGGAGGAAAAGAAAGAGCTGCAAGTGAAGAACGAGTCCCAGAACGGGTCACAAGACACTATCAAAAGGAGAAGGAAAAAAGAAGTACTCTTCGTAGAAGTCAAAAGCGAGAATGATAGACTAAGCGATACGCAAAGAATGTGGATACATGTACTTCTAGGGGCGGGGATCAGGGTTGAGCTTTGCAATGTGGTCGCGAGGGAGGTGAAGGTTATTGATGCTGAATAAGGGATAAGGAGGAGTAAGGAGTTGATTTGGTCTGATTCTGATGGAGTGGACTGGATGGATGGGGTAGATAGAATGGTCGGTATTGAGTGACAATTCAGGAGGTTTAGGTGGTATAATACCTAGCTGATACGATTTTGATTGAAGATCTGCCTTCTTAGTGTTCATGTTCTGACGGATCAAGCCTGGCATCACAGGACTTTTCCTCCATTCGAAAAATTTACAACTGGCCTCGGCTTATCTCACCAGAATGCAGTCCAAAGCCACCGAAGGATCTGAATGTATCTCAGATTCTTTCACTACTATTTATAGTCTCTCGTACCTCAGTACCAACTAACGTGGCGTTTCTGGCATATTCTTTTCCTACATCTCTTTTTTCTTTTGTAAGTGCAATCAACGTATTATTTCATACTTTATAAGTACCCTGAAAAGTCTTCAGGTTGAGGATGGAGCCTGCTATATCATTATTGTGGATTTTTCTGAGCCAGGAATTTGGTTCGGAAATTTAGCAGACTGCCAGTGTCTACTGCTTCTGTGTTACTCTGATATTCAAACTTACACCTAGATTCTGAACATGAGGGGTGGATCCAACCAAAGAGAAGAGGGTTAAAACTATCTACTGCCATAATATTGTTTTGTAGTATGCCTTTAAAGGAACAAGACGATGGAATCGAATAGTAAAATAAATGGTAAAAGCAATGGACGTAAGCATAGAACCCATCTACAACATGATCGAAGTGCCACGACAACAATACACATCATCATCACAAGAAGCTCCGCACTTTCTGCTTTGCTGTCAGTAAAATTCTATCACTATGCTGTGATCGTTGCGAGCGCAACGAGTTTAACGAAATCGCACTTCGAATGCTTCGAATAAGGGCATCGGGAGAAAATTTGCCGAATAGAAAGCGGAGGGTAGGAAGACATGCTGCGATCAAAGCAAAGCCGCATTCGAACATCACCCAGTAATAGGCATCTGCAATATCCACTGTTGAGATCGGCGAGTTAGCAAGAATATTGGACTTAGAACTAGAGAAAAAGAGAAGCTTTACCATCAGGGTCAATTCCTGGTGTTAATCTAGCTGCGAAAATTTCATATGTTAGCTCGATTGGTGCTGGTGAGGTCGATAAAGTACAAATATACTGACACTTGGCTGCAATAATATAGATGACCATTCGGGTAGCAGACGCAGCTACAGCCCTGAGAACTATCAGCCAAGACACATGATATTGCATACAATTGAACTCACACGGCTCCCAAGAGAAAAACGCCTGTAAGCGCAAACTTCCGGCTAAGTGTTATATGAAGTCTCCATAGCTTTATTCATCAATTAGCATGTATAAACTCGACGAGAAGAATGCGCAGGGTCCTACCATTGGCAGAGGCATAATGACAATCATGATATCCATGATAAAATCCGATATTGCAAGCCCCATCTGAAGAGACAGAGACTCGCCACATTTAGTAACAAGATCTTCAATGGTACCCCAATGCGCATCAATATACTTTCCACACATGAAGAAAAAGGCGAAAAAGAAAGCTATAGACCACGCTGCCACGAGAATAATGCTAGACTTAGGAATGTAATGAAAGGGGCCTATTTTGGGGGTACAGAATATGCGGCGGTAGAAGAATAGAATACTGAGCTTTACACAACCGAGAGCACAGATCTGCATTAGCTCACATGCAAACTCAACCTAGCAGATATAAAATTAGTGATTGAAGGCTGTTGTAAAGATCTTGGATGCTGCATTGCCTGTTGCGTTATCTTGTTCTCTGGTGGTGAAAAATTTACAATGACAGACAATGGTGCATTCGGATAGTGAGTTGTATATCCAAGTGCATGTTTCTTGGCACCTAGTTCGGTTAGAATATGTAATGGCAATGCATACGAATGAGAAACCGACCGATGATCACAGATATTGTCATGCCGACTACCATTGTCTATATGAGAGTCAGCACTGTTGATCGATGAAGAAATGAACCTAAGGTGTGAAACTGACCAGCGAAGGTAAAGTAAGCCAATCATCGATCAGTAAAGGAACCTTCTGTACACGACGGACATAAAACCGCAATGCTACAGCAACAGTGGGAAACAAGATCATATTGATGCTTAGCGCAATGATAGATCTCTCAGTCGCAAATGTGACATGGCTCAGAAAGCCAGTATAGTGAGCAGTCATGATTAGCGAGAAGTATATTCGTTGAATAAGAGATTAGATGGTGAAGAATCACTTTCATTGAAGAAATGCAGGTCTCTCAATATAATCAATGAAGAAGGCGAGTGTAATCCGGGGCAGGTTTGTGTGAGAGGTTGGGTGGGCTTTCCAGGAACGAGCTCCATTGATACTGAAGATTACAATCAGTCAACTAGACACACAAAACTCGCTGTGCCCCAGCCAAATGTTTGGTGTGGATTGTTGATTTGGGCTTTCTGCAGAAGATAACCCCACCATCCGTACAGATGTGGCAGTTCACCCAACCCCAAAGTACTTGGGCACATTTTATACCTGGTCAAATATGAACAAAAGAGTAGGTGCTACAAGTTTTTAATATTGATGCAGACTGTTGACCGCAGATCCTCCTTAATCAATCTTTTTTTATTTAAATAAAGTACCCTGCAATAGACGTCGTACCAACGACAGATTAATTTGAGGGGCCACCTTCATCTAACATGGTATCAATATGATATGTGTCGATCTTCCAAAGAAAGCTACATGATCAACAGTCACAACACACAAGCTTCCAATGGACTAATTAGGAGCCGATACTCTCTCAGAAACTTGGTATCTAGAGTTTCCCGACCTAGTTACTATTTGTGAGTATAGCCGGAGAAGACTATTGCGATTAGACCCCATTTTATAGGCTTGTGAAGGGGGAGAGAGCTGTTGCAAAGTAGCATTTTATTCTTTTGGGGGCGAATGTTTTTGTGAAAGAGACTTTTTGAGAGACCAAGAGAGGAATTAATGGCAGGCTCTTCCTCATCAATCGAAAGCTAAAAGAAGGATGAAAATCAAAGAGCTCTCCTTATCTCCGCAAAAATTCAGACGCACGATTTCCTCAACGTGCATACCACTGGACGTGTTTACGAGACTTAATGTTCGTCGCTTCCTTCAAGAAACTTGCCGATCTATTGATTGGATCAGGTATTTAAAATAAAGCTACATAGAACATATCTTGTTTTGGTTCGGGTAATGACTAAATTTTTTTGGAGGCCTCGTTGAAGTGCAACTAGATCTCCATTCTATTTACAGCCACCTTGACCTTTACCCCATTCTTGTTCTCGACCGTCATTCTGAAACGTTCCATCCAAGGCATAGGGTCTTGGTTCTCTATTTTCGAGAAATTTTGTATCACTCTCACTACAATGTAGGCAGAATCTGTAAAAACCATTTGCTGAGCAGGGCAAATGCGAGGACCTCCAGAGAATGGAAGGTACTCCCATGTCGGTAGTAACTTCTCCCATCTTTCTGGACGAAAATCATCTGCGTCGACACCCCAGTAGGTCTTGTCTCGGTGTAAAGTATGAATATCACAAGTGATACTACTACCCTTCCGGACTAGAAAGGGTGCCTGACCATCAGGACCGCCACCAAGTGGTAGAATGGTATTCTTATGACATACTCGTCGCAGAAAGCCTGCCGTTGGATGAAGGCGAAGACCTGGTAGAAAAGATCAACTATACCCAATCTTGCAACGATGAGAAGACCCAAAAAACAAGAACCTTCAGATGATATTAAGCAAAAATGATAACATACTTTCGTTGAAGACGTATCGTAAATACTTCATTGACTTGAGAAGCTCAAAGCTCAGAGTCTGCTGGGCAGTCGTCGCAGCCAGAACTTCCGTTCGAAGTTTATTACATCTGTCTGGATCGCGAGCTAAGTGAAAAAGTATATCACTAACAGCAATTCCTGTAGCATCATGGGCCGGAATAAACACATGGAAAAGCTGATAACGCAAGTCTACCGGATCCTGAGTTTCCTTTGCCATTTCGTTCAAGAGCACATATCGTTTTTGTGCGGAGCTCTTGTCTTCTGTTTCAATATTTTCTGCACTCTTCTGACTCTCCAGGACTCTAGTGACGTATTTGTCAATATAGGCATGTACTTTCTTGAAGGCCCTTTTCCACGCAATATCTCGACCGCAAATGAATTTCAGCTTGCCAAGCATCATTCGCGCACCGAGGCCACGCATTGTCATGTCAAAAGCATTTAGAAATTCTCGAGAATCAAAAGGAGTGTTTGAGCACTGAGATTCTACCGATTCGCCAAAAAGGAACTCGGTTGAGATATCAAGAAACTGCGCGAGACAATAGTAAGTAAATATAGACACCATAATAGCAACGGTGGTCGTCATCATACCAAATTTTTCGTAAGTGGATGCAAATCTATTGTAGAGCCGTCTCGTGGAATAAGATCCAAAAACCGACCAACATGCTTCTCTAACGTGGCAAAGTTTGATATCTCAGTCCTCGCAAATGTGGGTCTGATGAGAGCACGAGAGCGTTGCCATATAGGACCATCCGCTGTGAAGATTCCCTGTGCCTCAAAAGAACCTCCTCCTTTCTCTGGCTTGACCTTGACTTTGCCAAAATTCTCAAAGGAAAAGGCTAAAACTGTTTGGATATTTCTTGGTTCACAAGTGTTGATGACTGTCGTTCCCCAAGAATTGATTTGGAATGTTTTTCATTAGGTATCATAAAGTTTCCGATTTGTTTGTAAAACTTGACCTGTTTTCATGGCTTTACCCATCTTGAAAAACAAGTCGAGTCCGAGAATGGGCTCCCTGTGCGGATATTTTCTGGGCTTGATGCATCCATTCTTGCGTTCGAGATCGACGGTGGCAAGGTGTTCGTTGATCTTCCTGTAAAGATAAACAGTGGGAAATACTCCAGTAGTAAACAGAAAAAGATAAGTTGTGGCTCTCATGATTGCTCAGTGCTGTCAAATTAATAATTGAGGCTTCAATCTCTTAAGGGAACTTGTAATTCATTTCGAGAGAGGTGGGCATCCTTTTTCTTCATGATCATGTCCTCAGATGATCAACCCTACTGAATGTATGAATGATAGACCATGTCATGTTGGGCCTATCTTGCCTTATCTTCAATAACACCTCCTCAATGTCGTACGGCGCATACATTTTGTAGGTGTGAGGTTGATATGCAATGTTACAGTAAATGTCAAGAGAGGCTAGTTTACACGTGGGTGAACGGCACGGCCTTTATGTGTGACACACCTCATGCGTGTCAGCTTCGATTAAAAGATCGTCATCACCACAATCAACTAATAAATTCATAGAACATGAATATATATACATGGGGAGCCCGGATGATGCCACCCGTTCCTTCCGGTGTATCCTTCTATTCGGTCAGTAACATATCATTTTGTGACAACCCCTGTAACCGGTAGCCAAGTTTTACTATCCGCTTCGCCTCTGCTGTTTTGGTTCACCGTGTTAGAAGGTCTACCACCCCTCAGATCTCCACCTTGAGCAAATTGAAGCTCGCTATGTGTTTGTCCCGGAACCTCCACAGATGAAGCCATCAGCGAGACTATACACACTTTTAGGTCAAGAATCAGCCCTACACGTCGAGGGCCGTTCAAGCCAAGGATCGCAAGGGAAAAGCCCAGTTCTATTTCTAATTCTCTCAAACTTCGTATTACTTGTGATGCTAGGAGCCGCCTTAATCTCGCTCCTTCAAAAGGATAAATTAGTTCCAACCCCATCTGGGTTTGGTAAGTTACCCACCAGGTTTTTCTTCTTCATCACTAACAAGTCAATCATCAGCTATAACTGAAGAACTGCCGACAACGTATGGAAGTTTCACTTGGTGGACAGAATACAGTGGTGCCAATGATACAGAGGTCGATGCACTCTGGAATGCCATTCTTCCTTCGCATGGATTAGTCGCCGTTGATCGCGAGTGGTCCAAACAACGAAATTGGCCGGATTCACTGCATCTTCCTACCGACAATAGCAAGAATATCTACCTACTTGAAGCATACCATCAACTGCACTGTGTGGTAAGATGTTCTCTCCCAAACTCCCGCAGATTTGAGGTTTGAGAGATGTGAGTGCTAACACCGAGCAGAAAATCATCCGCCAGACATTCTGGGAGGCCGTTAGAAGACAACCATACACCCCCAACCCACCTCACGCTGGCCACTGTTTTGATTTCCTTCGTCAGGTAAGCACAACCCAAATCACAAATTGAAAATAACTTCCGTGCCTTATTAGATGTACAGACCACCAATTCGTAGTTGAGTGCATATGTGGCTTATAATGCTCTACCCTATTGGAGCCGATTAATGCACAAGTATTGAGCTGCGACTCATACTAGTTTTAGGCCCCTTCCCTGGAATTCAGAAGTTGGAAGTTGTAAAGCGCAAAAAATGCATTTAATGGCTAATGGACCAGTGATGACAGTGCATGTAATTCCTCATAGCCTGAAGACTTGTCCAGAGGGGAGGCGAAAATCTATCAACGCCTTGCCTTACGTTGTACTGTTTTATTCACTAGACCTCCTTCCTAAACCACAAGAAGTCCGGTACACCAGAACGGCTGTAATAAGGGAGCACATAGATCTTTGGTGTGGTCAAATTATGGTACAGAATGACCAGAGACGGTTTCGAGTATATCGTTTTCAACGAACAAGATCTGCATCACTGCATAAGAATGAAGATTTGTCCCTTTCTTCAGGACTCGCTGTGCATTCAATTATCTATACATGTGCATACACACATGCAAGACAAGGAATTTGTACGTCATATAAAATAGACCACAGATATCTGAGCTTCAAACCTTCCTCACAACCTGTAAACAAGTTATTATAATCCCAAATAGAAACTCCTATCTAATCCTACCCGCAATCGCTGGCCAGGGAGGACCACCGAACCGCTCAGCTTCATCCATCAAATTTCATACTGCATTGTCTGTTGCATTGGAGGGTTGCATGATGCTTTGTGTATGCATAACTGCAAATTGATCTTCCTATTGTGTCTGGTGATGCATTAAGTCGTTAGGTAGGCGGCAATCTCGCCCCCGAAAATTCTATGTTTTCTATCATGAATTAAACTTCAGCATCTAGCTGTCACCCTCTTACCAGGAACTTTACGTCCTTCGGAGAAGTTACCCCTAAGATCTTTATTGTTTTGAAGTGAAGCAGGTGCGTGTGCAAGCGATGTTCTCTAATGATACTCACTTATAAAGACCTCCACCGAGGGCATCTATCCCAGAATAATTACATTCAGTAACTTCAAACAAACATATCTATCGTCCGATCAAAAACTTTCACTTACTTATTCATTTCCATAAATACCCCCACACCACAATGCAAACTCCTATCTTCATTATCCTATTCCTCGGAATGATAGCCAACTCTTTCGCAGCCCCAACCTCTGCATACTGTAAGTTAAGATAATCACCCTATTCATTTGTCTCATCTGGAATTTGCAACTGACTCCTCGATCGCTCAGCAACCATGGGCGAAGCCCCCGTTAGCATCGAGGAACTCGAAAGTAATGCTGCCAATCCAGTCGGAGACTTCTATTAGACAGACCCCCACTCGTTCTCTCCCGTCAGACACCTAAAGTATGTGCATATGTAAACATCTATTAGCAAATCCACACCGCGACCTATTTTTGCACATGCTAATTATCGTGACTTTAGAACTGCAGACTACTCGTTGCTCATGGAATGAACGAATTTGAGAGATCATTATTGAACTGCAATTGCAGGCTTGGACGTATGAGAGATGATTGTACTATCATAGTTCTATTTCAGGAAGAGTAGCTTTAACCGAATTTGAAGTCTTTGAAACATTCTGCGAACTGTGTTGTCATTTCAATTGAATCTTGTGCCGACTGGTCACACCTGCTTGTTCTCTTCCACATTGCCAATTTCTTCATTACTAGTCAGTCCCTTTTCATACCCATATTGCACTGCACACTATTTCCCATATCTGTGGTATAGAAACCCCTCCAAGATACACTGCATAATGGCGAGAAATAAAATAGTGTTAGATACAATGTCAAAGATCTATCCGACTAGGATAAAGAACGGGGCAAAATACTTATATGGATCAAGCAAGCGTTATAATGAATAAAGGGATATTACTTATATATGAATGATGAGAGCATACTAATGCGCCATAGAAGAGCACAATTGTTACAAACAACAACAAATGAAGTAGTCACACAAAAAGTAAAACTTTATATATTATTCAAGGACGTAAATCCGAATCCGGTACATGTCCATTACTTCATATAGAAACAGCCCGGACAGTCATCCAACATCCTGCCAACCCCATAATTTTATCATCATATCCAAGCACTCGTGGTATCAAAACGACCAAAAAAGTAACCAATCCAAAAACAAAAACGTTAAAATCCCCAGAATTTAAGCCACAACCCCAGTATCCCTACCTCCTCTTTCCTCAAACGCCTCTCTCGCTTTGACATTTGCCACTGCACTCTGGAACGCACTCGTAAGATCAACGTGGAATAATGGCCGATTGAGACCGGTAACAACAGCCGTTCTCGACCTCGTGACGTTCTTCGACACAGCTTTCAAATCACTACCACTTCCACTCTCACTATCTCCTCTAATTTGATCTCCATTTCTCAGATCTCGTTCGCGCGTTCGCTGTTCCTTAATTTCTTTCTCGTTGGATTCAGCTTCTGCTGCTGCTGCCGCACTATCCTGACCTCCCATTTCCGCAACCGAGAAAATGGGCTTCCAGCGGTGTGATCCTTCTTCCTCGGGAGTTGGGTATCCGAATCCAGCGGCAACGAGAGCACGTTTGGTCCAGCGATTATTGATAGAGGTGAAATGCCAGTCTACGACGGAAGGAGATGCATAAGTATCGAGTTGATTACGAACATCGATGAGTTGTTGGATGGAGGTTATATCGACATTGTTAACGGAGCTGAAGTCGAGGATGATAGCTCTGAGGGTAGGGCGGTCGCTATGATCTTCAGGAGCTTTGCCGCGACGTGGACCGGGGTCATTCCATGGGCGATCACCAGGTCGAGCGTAATGGTCAGGGTTGGTTCGACGGGTTGTGGCGAAGATTGTATTGGTAAGGTGATCGAGATAGTGATTGGCGTTTGGATAATTAAATCCTTCTGAGAATCGATAGATGAAGATGCCGGGATAAGGAGTTTGAACATCAACTTCTGGATTAGTTCCATCACCGTGGTCGAAAGGAAGAAAGACTGTTCGAGATCCAGAATCTTCGAATTGAGTGGCATCAGATTTTGGGAAAGTGCCATTGTCGGCCAAAGGTGCTGATCTATATTCGGCAATTTCACCTCCGACCGAAGTAACCTTGACTTTACCAAGAAAGCGTCCTCTAGCCTTAATAATTCGGAAAATGAGAACGGCGAATGAAACGCAAATAGTTACGTAGATACCATCTTCAATGGTGGTAAAAACGGTAACAATGACACCTGCGAAGAAAATCGGAACCTCGAGAGGGGATACACGCCAGAATTGATAGACAGTATTTGGGGGTGTGATGAGATCTCCGACAGCGTGAATAATGACTGCAGACAAAGCTGCACTTGGAATGTAAAAGAAGACTGCCGTAAGTGCGTAGATAGCAAGAAGAACGATGACAGCGGTTATGACACCAGCGAATGGAGTTCGAACACCAGCCTTCGATTTGATAGCTGTACGAGAGAAAGAACCGGTAACTGGATAACCACCAAGGAAAGAGCCAAAGATGTTGGTGACACCAATAGCTACCATCTCCTGAGATGGGTTGATAACATAGTTGTTGACACGTCCGAAGGATTTCGAAATTGCGATGTGCTCGATAAGGAGAACGATGACAGTGGCTGGCAAATCTCCTACAAAGACGTTGATAATCGAAGAGTTGACTTCTGGAACAGCAGCATTTTGAAATCCTCGTGGAACTTTACCAAGA